AATTAGTTCTAACAACTGAAGGCTTAAAGAACTACATTTGGATGGGAACATGTCGGCTTTGCATAGATGTTTGGTATGCTTGCTGTTCAACCCATTTGCTGTTGTGCTCCAAACTAGTTGGTGCATCCTGTTTTCTTAGATATGTCTAGAAATTGATTGGAGCAAGCTTGAATGACTGAATTGATTGGACATAGTTTAGAAAGGCACACACCTATATCACACACCACATGTTAATCCCATGCTATGATGAGATAGATCAAGGTTCCCAGAAGCACAGTGGTCTCATTAATTGTAAATGGAAGAGGTCTAGAACCACCAGGACTCTCCTCCCAGCAGAGTCTCAGTAGGACGACTGTCTCAGCAGCCCTTCCCCACACAGGCCTTTATGGTAGAGTAGCTAGACTGAAGGCACTTTGAATAAAAGGCTTATGACAGCTCACCCAGAATTTGCCAAACAGCATTTAAAGGATTCTGGGACCCTGCTGAAAAAGGTTCTCTGATCTGAGAAAAGTTCGGTCTGGCACAAAAATGTAAATTTTTGGGCAGAACTCCAAGCACTATGTCTGGTGAACACCAGGCACTGCTCTTCACCTGGCTAATCCCTACAGTAAAGCATGGTGGGTAGGATGAATTTAGACAAATAAAGAGAAATCCTTGAAGACTAAACCTGGCCTAGAGTGCACACAACCTGAGACACAGCAATGACCTTAAACAAGGCAACACTGGAGTGGCTTCAGAACAACTTGACTGCCCTTGAGTGGCCCAGCCAAAGCCCAGACTTAAGCCCTGCAGAACCTCTGAAAATGGAGTTCACTGGTGTCTTCATTCCAATTTGGTATGATAAACTCAAATCCAGGTGTGCAAAGCTTGTAAAGACTTGTCCAAGAAGACTCGTAGCTGTAATTGTTGCCAAAGGGGCTTTTACAATGTACTGAATTCAGGGTCTGAATACTTTTGTTTACAATTATGGGTTTTTGAGCCTAGTCTGATGGGTTAAATGGCAATTTTATCCATTTAAAGTTCAATCTTTCTGAAGTCGCTGTTTTCTTTGTCTACTTTTTCCAGCACTTCACTGATGCAATATCACACTTAGGCTGAGTCAAAACCTGAAATCCAAAATGTTTATGTCTACTGCGCTGCATCAAGATGGAAATTTAGAAGTCTTGCAAGTCATTTCTTACACATTTCTCACCTGACACAGTTGGAATATTTGTAAAACCTTGGGATTTTGGCTAGAATTGACTGAAGTACCACTGTAGTGTAGCTACACTGTACACTGTGGCTGTAGTGTGTGGTTAGGAGTTGCACTGGGCCAGGTCAAGTGAGCACATCCAGAGGGAAGCTGCAGACTGAGAGTGAAAGGTCTGTGAAGCGCTCGCTCAATGCAGTGTTTTGTTAATCAAACAGACACAGCCTCTTTAGGCCATATTTGTAGACTCATGCCTGAGAACAAAGACAAATCCATTATCGCAGTGTTTGAAAATACCAAGATAAAATGACTTGGCTGTGTTTTGACAGGCTTTCTCCTTCAACCGTACCATCTTATTTCTGCTCATTTAAATTACATTCAAAATAAATGATCACAGAAAACTATAGTCCGCTGTTGGTTGACATCCTTTGAATATAAAAGAGCCAATTTTACCTTTGTCTTTGTTGAGCCAACAATTAATCTTGATATCTGCAAAAGAAAGCCTGTGATTCAGGTTGATGATAAATGTGAAATGAACCATTGGTAATACATTTTCATTTAGTCAGTGAATTGCTTTTCCACAGGCTGTACAGGCTCCCTGGACAATTCCTGCATTTTCACAAAAGCACTAATCCTGCTCAGGATCATTAGCTTAGTATCATGTTTACACTGGATGTGGCCAAGTGGTTGTATTCTATGCAGATCAGTGGTTTCTGAGACTTATTCTATTTCTATACTCAACAAAAACACAAGAAAAATCTATATATTCACCAAGGTTTTGTCAGAATGTGCAACTTCATTTGAGCTTTGCTCCCACCTGCTATTTCCCAATGAAATTATTTCCTGAATCTCGAGGAATTTTTTATCACAAATTGGGCAACCGCTGTTTTTTTAACCCCTTAGAAATAATTAAAAACATTATAAATGATGTTAATTTGTCAGTCAGTTGAAATACTTGGGCAATCCTGCATCTGTATATGCTCATGCCAAAGAAAAAAGCCATTTAACTGGGAATACATACTGGACAGTACTAACTCCTCCCACAGACAGAATCTAAGTGATTGCAGAGTCTCTACAGCACTTACCAGATGTAGTCATTAGCACGTGTCCACATACTTGCATGCACAGGCACACTCAGACACAAACTCTCTTTGTGTCTCATCTGGTTTCCCCACACAGTTGCTACGGAGACTTGCAGAGGTACCCTTGTGATCAACCAGCTCAAAATGGTGGTTAATGAAGTAGCAAATCCAAATCATTAGCATAATTACTGTGGACTCCTGATTGCCTTTTGGGTATGGCTCCCTCTCACTTTTTCTCTAATCTATTATTGACTCTTTGTGCATTAATTGAGCTTATGATTGATTTTCAAATTTATAACTTATTTTCTTAGTCATAGTTCAGCAGTCCTGTCATCTGAAGCTAAGCCAAGCATGAAATCAACCTTTAAAGGAAAATCTGTATTTTGATTAAACATGTGTATTTAGGTAATTTCATGTGTGTTGTTTTGAAAAGATATTTAACATTCATCAGGTTACAGTTCTTCCATACTTTGATAAATTGATTTAACCCTCAGCTAAGAGCTAAAGACAAAACTAACTTGGAGTTGTTGAGCAGGTTTAATATTCACTGTGTTCACCATTAATGTCCGTAATTTTGCTTAACATTACTTCAGGATCTATATAAAGTATGTTACATGCAACAGCAGGTGGTCATATGTGACTGGTCATATGCCAGGAACATTTGAAACACTTGTTTACTGCAACATGTATGTATTTTAAACATAACCATTTAGGTTGTACAATGTTCCACTGGGCCTCTAAGCCTGCATTGTAGCCTCTGTTTAAGATGCTATACAAGTTTAGACACACCATGAAATATAACTAAGTTAGGATAAAGTTAGAGTGTAGATGCCAGGAATTGCTATACAAGTTTAGACACACCATGAAAGGTAACTAAGTTAGGATAAAGTTAGAGTGTAGATGCCAGGAATTTCTCTTGCCTCCATAAACACAAGTCAAACTGATTCTTTATGAGGTTTGTAACATATTATGATGCTGTGGTATGTGCAATGTTCACCCGAGCTCATTAAGTAAATTGCCCGAGCTGGGAACCTCTCCTGTCCTGAGTCTTCTTCAATCAGTCACATACAAAAGTCAACTTTCAATTATCATGCTCACATTTCCTAATTAAAACACTGGAAAACTTGTACGCTTGCATAATAAGTTGTGGGCGTCTGCAGGTGTCAGGTAAGTGGGCTATGTGCACTCCGTCCTCACGTCTGTATATGCAGGAGTGCATGTATAGCCTATTACCTGTTTTGGGGAAATGGAGTGGGATTGGTGGATAAAATAAAGAGCCTGTCTTCAAATCAAGACATCTCTTTCATTTTGAATTTTCGCTGCCAGCCGTAACAGCTGTCAAGTAAAAAAGTGATCTCCCTCTTCCTGCCTGTATTTCTGCTACATCTCAGCAGCTCAGAGAGAGAAAGATTGGTCGGAGAGTGCAATTGTTTAGAGATTTCCATCATTATCAGTGTCTCCAAAAATCCACTGAGCAGCAGCCATTTAAAAGTAGGCATTTGTGCTCTGACACACTCATATACACATGCATAAGCAGAAATCTCTTACGGGCTATTTACTTATCAGTTCCTCTTTGTTTGTACTTGGAGCCAGTGTGTGATGAGCGTGATTCAGATCCCTCAGGATGCCTCAGTGTAAATGTTCTTAGATGAATGGCCATTTGCAGAGAAATCAATGCAACCACAATGCTATTAGGAACATTTTAATTGGAAATAAAAGTGGATTCATTATTACTATTATGACAGCTGAGCACTTCGAATGCGCCGTGGCTCCCAGCC